GGGGGGTCATGGTTTGGGGGTCAGAGGGGCCAGGGGAGCTGGGAGAGTCAGGGACTGGGGATCACAGGAGTCAGGGGAGTCAGGGTTTGGGGTCAGGGACACCAGGGGGTGTCAGGGTTTGGGGCCAGGGGTCAAGGGGTGTCAGGGTTTGGGGATCAGGGTTTGGCAGTCAGGGGAGGGAGGGTTTGGGGGTTAGAGGGGCCGGATGGGTGAGGACAGTCAGGGTTTGGGGTTAAGGGCTCAGGAAATTGAGGTTTGGGGATCAAGTTGTCAAGAGGGGGAGGGTTTGGGCGTAAGGGGCTCAGGGGGTCAGGAGTTGGGGGTCAGCAGGCTCAGGGTTTGGGGCTCAGGGTTTGGGGGTCGGGGTTTGGGCACTCGAGGGCACTGCCAGGACTGACCCCACCGTGTCCCGCAGAGCGCTGTCCTGCTCCGGGAAAAGAAACTTGTCACCCTATTCCTGCTGGCGGCAGCCGTGGTGGTGCTGGGACCCGTGGTGGTGCGGCGCTTCTTCACCTCCTGACAGGGCTGGGGACAGCGAGCACCCCCTGCTCTGCCCCACATCCCCCAGGAACCGCCAGGACAGAGCCTGGCTTGGGGCTGGGACCCTCCTGCTGCAGGGTCTGGGGTCTCTGCACCCCCAGGAGAGGACTGGAGGGGGGAGGGGGGGGCTCTGCTTTGTTGTTTGGTGCCTCAAAAAGCTGCTGAGGAGGGGGCAGCTCTGGGATGGGGACATCTTTGGGGTGGGACATTTTTGGGATGAGGATATCTCTGAGATGGGGCATTGCTCTGAGAGAGCATCTCTGGGATGGGAACATCCCTGGAATGGGGCATTGCTCTGAGGGCACATCTCTGGGATGAGACATCTTTGGGATGGGACATCTCTAGGATGGGACATCTCTAGGATGGGACATCTCTAGGATGGGACATTTTTGGGATGAGGCGTCTCTTTTTGGGAGGGAACATCTCTGGGACCCCCAGCCCCTCTGGAGGAGCAGAGGGATGTGACGATGCCCCAGTGGCAGTGTGTGACAATGCCACTGTTGTGTCCTGCACCCCTGGGGCAGGAGCAGAGCCCCCTCCCCATCACTGGCAGCCCCATCCCCTGTGTTTGAGGGGTGATCCCAGCCCCGACTGCTGCTCCCCTGGAAATCCCAGCAGGGACAAACCAAGCGGGGCTGCTCCAGCTCCCCCTGCTCCCAAACCCAGCCCTGCAGCCTTTCCCAGCCTCTCCATGGATATCCCGACCCTTTTCCATGAAATCCCTCCTGCCCAGTGTTCCCTGGGAGGCACCAGCAGCTCCCCCAGCACTGCAGTGCTCGGACCCTGCCCTCCCCTGCCCACCATTTGGGCTCCCTGGCTCTTACTGGGAGGCACTGGAGCTGCAGCCCATCCCTGGAGCAGCTCCATGCAGGACCAGGCTCCCCTGGTTCTGTTCCTGACTGATGCTTGAGTGATTTTGGGCTGAGGAGGGGACCAAGCTCCTCTCTCCCATCCCAAACCTTCCTGATTTTTGCCAGCCAGGGAATTCAGGGAATTATTCCCTGTCCTGCCCAAGCTGCAGGTGAAGGATCCCTCCCTCTTCTCCCCTTGCAGCTGCCCAGGCTTAGCAAGACCAGCCTGAATTTTTTAATACTCACATTTCTCCTGGCCCTGCCTCTTCTTTAACAGAATAATGAACTTTTGTTTGCATATCTGAACTTGTCATTTTGCTCCTGGCTGTTCCTGCAGGATCCCTTTTCCCTGATTGCAATGCTCTGGGCTGTGCTTAAGAGAAAAGCATTAAAATATTTCCTGTATTATTCCCACTCCTGCTTGCATGTGTTTGCCCCATGCAGGGCAGCACAGCTTGGCCATGCTCAGGTTTTTGTGGCCACAGCTCAGGTTTTGTGGCCACAATTCAGATTTTGTGGCCACAATTCAGGTTTTGTGGCCCTGCTGGCTCACCTGAGCTCCCCTGGCTGCTTTGTCCCCTCGCAGGTGCATTTCTCCACACAAAATTCCCTTTTCCCTTCTCTCAGCTTGGGATTTCCTCGGGTTTCAAGCCCTTCCTGTGCTGTGAACCAGTTTAACCAGTTTAACCAGTACGATATCCCCCAGCTCCTTTTTTGGGTTTAAACACCACCAGATGGAGCCTTTTGGCCACATTGAGTACGAACCACTGGTCGTTATTTCCTTTTTTTCTGCTAATCATCCCCTTGATTGACTTAATTATCATCGGTTCTCTGCTTGGGTTGTGTGTCAGGCAGGACTTTTCAGAGTCCTTGGAAAAAAAAAAATAAAAATCAATGCATCAGCTTTAATTCACTACTTCAGACACACTCCTGGAACTCCAATGGATCAGGGAGAGCTTTTGCTGCTCATTTATTCTCATTTCCCAGCTAAAGCTTCCCCTTGCAGCTGTGAAGCCATAAAGGATATTTTCCAGATTTATGGGAAACGATTGAGCCATAGTGAAGTCCAGGACAGAGGGGAGAACTTTTCAATAGGTGCTGCACAAAGGAAAAATTCCATTTTATCCGTTTTTCTCAGGGGATTTGCAGAGGGAGGAAACTCTCAGGATGTCGGTGCCTCTCCTCCCTCTGCTCTCAGCTCTTCCTGGCAGCCGTTCCTGGGTGGAAAAAAGCTTGAACTGGGACTGTGCCCCAGCCCTGAAGGAGAAAAGGGCCTGGGGGGATTTCCTGGTGCCAGGGGCTGCCCAGGAGGGGAATTCCTGGGGGGGGCTGGCAGGAGGAATTCACCCAGGGGGAGTTTATCTGGGAGGATTCATGGAAGAGGAATTCATCCAGGAGGAATTCACCCAAGAGGGATTTATCCGGGAGGAATTTATCTGGGAGAAAGCGCTGGTGCATGGAAAAGGGGTGAGAACCCAAGGGAGTCTCATTTCCTCCTCCTGAGCCATTTTTACACCTTCTGAGCCTCTTTGAACTCCAACTGAGCCCATTTGAGGGTGGTTTTTAATCCCAGCCTCTCCCAGCTCCTCTCTCCTGGCTGGAGGAGTCTGTCCCAGCTCTCTGAGCCCTTCCTGAGCCAGCCCAGGTCCCCAGGACGCTGCTCCATCCCTGAGCCCACCCTGCCACTGTCACCTCTGCCCCTTCCTCGCCCTCCTCCCAATGTCCCAGTGCACGGTGTCCCCTCCCCAGCCCTCCAGGAGGGGGACAGGGCAGTAAGGGACACTTTGTGGTGGCTCTGGGAGGGTGGGACAAGGACACGAACCTTGTTTTTCCAGAGGGAGAAAAGGGGAAATCCACAGGTTGTCCCAGCAGGAGCAGGGAGTGGGGAAGGAGGGACCTGCAGGTCACCTTTGGGCTGTCTGGGACACGCTGGGGTGGCTTTGACCTGAAAAAAAAACCAAACCCAACCCAAAGCAAACCCATTTTTTTTTTACAAATAATCTGTTTTTAAATGATGTAATATATAAAAAATCTCTATGTCAAAATAAAAATGGTACACAGAGTGCAAACTCCCCAGGCTGTGTGCAGGGTTTGCTTCTAGAAACTTCCAGGAGTTTTGCTCCTCCCTCCACGAGCTCTCCAGACTCAGCTGCCTCCTTAATTTCAGCATCCCAGGTCTCCTTTCGATTTTTTTTTTTTTTTTTCCCAGTGTGAAGAGCTAAGAGGGAGAAAAATGTGCTGCTGCTGCAGCTTCTTGTGCCATCCCTGAGCTGCAGAGCCTTCCTGGGAGAGGGGAGAATGTGGGGATGGAAAAGGGGAAATTGGGATGGAAGATTTTGGGGATGGAGAGGGGAATTTGTGGGCACGGAGAGGGAGAGATTTTTGGGATGGAGAGGGGAAATTGTGGGGATGGAAAAGGGGGATTGGGATGGATTGGGGGACATTTTGAGGATGGAAAGGAAAGGTTTTAGGGATTGAAGGAGGAAGTTGTAGAAGAGGGGAGTTTTTAGGGGGATGGAAAAGGGAATTGTGAGGATGGAGAGGGAAATCGTGGGGATGGAAGAGAGAACATTTTGGGGACAGAGAGGGAAATTGTGGGGATGGAGAGAGGAGGTTTTTGGGATGGAGAGGGGAGGTTTTTGGGATGGA